CCTGAAAAGGCCCTATATACCTCAAAGCGAAAACCTAAAGAGCCCAATGCCCTTTCATTGAGGACGGAATATACCTTAAATCATATTCGGGGACCCCTGTATAAATTCAGGTTTTTTCCTTAACTAAGGAATAATGACACCCTAAAAAAGGTTTGGGAAACCCTATATAAGTTAAGGTATGTTCCTTAATTAAGGGGCATTGGGCTCTTCGGGAAGGCCCGGCGTCAGAAGCTGCTGTCGGCCGCCGGGCAACTCGATGCGTCGTCGCCGGGCGCCAAAGGGCGCTACAGGCCTGGCGTTGGTTTTGGGGTAGTTTAGGGTTTAGGGTTTAGGGTTTAGGGTTTAGGGTTCAGGGTTTAGGGTTTAGGGTTTAGGGTTTAGGGTCTAGGGTTTAGGGTTAGGGCCTTATGGGACATCTTTAATTTTCCCTTCCTGGGCCCCGAAGAGGACTATATCTAGGAACAGTTTTCACAGGACTTTCAGGGCCATCCTATCTTTTTCGGGGCTTTAGGGCTCCACCCTACACACCTTTAGGGTTTAGGGTTTAGGGGTTAGGGGTTAGGGGTTGGGGGTTGGGGGGTTAGGGGTTTGCGGTTTGTAGGGCTTAGATTTGGGGCTAGGAGCTCAGGGCCTTAGCGCTGTACTTTTTTTGTCGGCCCTACGCAACAGCACACGAAGCAGCGCAGGTCTAGGGTTTGCGGGGCGGTGAGGGCCGCTGACTCTATAGCGTGGGTGGCTAGCATGCGGTTGACAAGCGCATGGTCCGCATGGTAGATGCTCCGAGCTTCCATGCTGTGCGGATCCTTAAACCCTAAACCCCATAAGCCCTATAAACCCTATACTTGAACCCTATAAACCCTATAAACTCTATACACCCTATAAACCCTATAAACCCTAAACCCTACAAACCCTCAACCCAACAAAAACTCCAAAAGCCCGAAACCCATGGCAGCGGAAGGGTCGACGAGCGCAAGCTCCGCGTGCGCGGCGCGGCAGCCGCGCTCCGCCACCCACTGCCGGAGGAGGCTGCAGAAGAAGACGGGCCAGGGCCACCCTTTTTAAGGTTTATGAGTTGGGGCATATAGGGGTTTAGGAAAGTACCACATGAATCAAGGCCTCTGACCCCTGGTGCCCATAAGCACACAGAGTGCCACCCTGGAGAGCACAGAGAAAGAACAGGTGCGAAGGGAGAAAGAAGCCATCGTTCGAGACTTCCTTGGCAAGCCACAAGGCGCCCCTGGGACGTACCAGTGATGAGGGGATGCATATATGGCCTTCAGGTACTGACAGAAAGCTATGGGGGAACATCCCAACATACACTCATGGACACTAAGCCTTTGGTGGGGATTAGGGGTGGCCGGGAGATTTTGATTTCTGTGATTTTAAGTGGAGGCTCAAGGGGCTTTAGCTGATGACGCTTCGGGGGTAAACCCTAAACCCTAAACCCTAGCCCTAAACCCCAAACCCCAAACCCTAAACCCTAACCCTAAACCCTAAACCCCTAAACCCCTAAACCCCCCCCCCCCCCACCCTTGAAAGCTTACCCTAAACCCTAAGCCCTAAGCCCTAAACCCTAAGCCAAAGCCCTAAACGTGCGCAGGAGAAGACTTGACGAAGGAAGAGTTGGAGCACGCCAGGGGCGTGGATGTGAAGGTGCCGCCATCAGCTTCTTGGGCTTTTGGGGGGGGGGGGGGGGGGGGCGGTTCAGGGTTTAGGGTTTAGGGTTTGGGGTTTAGGGTTTAGGGTTTGGGGTTTAGGGTTTAGGGTTTAGGGTTGGGGGGGTTGAGGGCTTTGGGCGGTTTCAGGTTTTGGGGGCTTAAGGTTGAGGCTTTTGGGTTGTTGGGTTTGAAGGGTGAGGGTTTCTGGGTTTCAGGCTTTGGGTATTGGGTTTCGGGCCTGGGAACTTGCCCAGAACCCTAAACCTTCCGAAGCTCTATGACAATTTCCGCATAGAATAGCCTTAAACCCCAAAACCCTAAACCCTAAACCCTAAACCGTCTTCAACCCCAGAGGAGGCCGTTGAGGGCTACGTCTCTCCAGAGTTCGCCTGCGCACGGCACCTCCAAATCATGGAGGCAACTAGGGTTCAGGGGTTTAGGGGTTTGGGGTCTGGGGTATACAGGGGTTTAGGGTTTAGGGGTGAGGGGTTTAGGGGGGCTTTGGGGTCTAGGTTTAGGGTTTCGGGTTTAAGGTTTAGGGTTTAGGGTTGAGGGCTTTAGGGTTTAGGGTTCAGGGCTTTAGGGGTTTGGGGTTGGGATGTTCCCCCTTTTTCTAGCAGCAATAGGGATTATCATGGGGTGTACTATATTCCCCATTAACGCTGTTAGTATAGGGGGGTAAACATCCCAAGTTTGTGGTTTAGGTTCCAGGGCTTAGGCCTGAGGGTTGGGGATTTCGACCCGGGGGTCGAGGGAATCTATTCTTTGGTGGATTTGGTGTCGTCACACCCGCTCGGTCCTCAGAGAAACCATCCATAAACCCTCAACAACCTCTCAACAGTCCCTCCAAGAAAAGACGCCCTCTATAAACCTTATATCCCCTAAAACCCAGGGTTTAGGGTTTAGGGTTTAGGGTTTAGGGTTTAGGGTTTAGGGTTTAGGGTTTAGGGTTAGGGTCCCAACAATGCGGGTGCTACTGATACGCTTGAAACAGTCACATCCGCAAGAGGATCAACTTGCTGCTGGCAACAGCTACATAAACAAACTCGAAAGGCAACATTAGCAGTATGTTGTGATACACCCGAGGCATGGCGTGTACCAGCAAGAACGGATATGTGACCTGCGATGGCCGGGTCTAATATTGAAGGCCTAACTGCTACAATCAAGGCGGACATCCAGCCTGAACAGGTAGGTATCTAGCAGGATTGAAGAAGCATCATCACAGTTTCTCTTGTTTTTCGGGCGATCTGAGGGTAGTTGCAAGGGCCCTTAATATGGTCCCTAACCTCCGTTAAGGGTTCTGGGCGCGAAATTTGTATAGGGTATATAAGGGGCATACAAGGGATTACGAGGGGTATCCGATTACGGGCCTATACTAAGGGACCATGCAACTATGATTTGGGGTTTGTTTTTTGTCGCAGGCAAGCTGCCCGAAGCCAACATTGGCAACGTGATTACTGTAGGGTCTCGGGCCTTGACAGATGATGCCACACTCCCAAACCCTATACACGTAATTACATGAAAACATTGTGGTCCCTCTAAAGAGGTGTGAGAAGAGTAGCCCACAACATTAGCTTTACAACGGTTGCCAGCCGGCAAAATGAACTTTTTGTCGTCGTTGCCGGAGCATTCCGTCTAACATCTACAGGGCATAGGGCCTGGGACTTTAGGTCGAGTCCAAATACACCGTAGAATCCGTAGAAGGAGAGACCCGGATAAGACTATAGCTCCAAATTGCAGCTGCTTATGTCCGCAGGCGTGCGCGGAAGATCCCGACTCTTCGGAAGCCAGGCCCCTGTGCATCTGAGGATGCTACTGTTGTTTCTCGGGTTCAGGAGCCAAGCTGGACTTTGCCCTACAGGCCCCCCCCCCCCCCCAAGCCTTCTAAAGCCCTTTGACACGAAACCCTAGAAGCCTCAAACCCCTTTTGAAGTTTTTGCCCTGAACCCTGAACTCTAAACCCTGACCCGAAAAGCCCCCCCCCCCCCCCCCGCCCTAAAACCGCAAGAAACCCCTGAACCCTAAACCAACCGACCGACTTCACACCCCCCATAAACCCTGAACCCCTCCTCTGTAAAACCCGAAACCCTGCGCGCCCTTCGAACCCCATAGGTAGGGTTTAGGGTTTAGGGTTTAGGGTTTAGGGTTTAGGGTTTAGGGTTTAGGGTTTAGGGTTTAGGGTTTAGGGTTTAGGGTTTAGGGCAGAGGTGCTTTCAATTCGTCTTGGACTGGCGGCAGACGTTTCTCGACAGCGTGAAGCCCCAGCACCTCCCAGCTGGCTGGGACTTGTTCCGCAGCATCCGAAAGCACGCGCTTTGGACCTGCAAGTGTGTTTGTTTGGGGCTTATAGGGTTTAGGGCTTAGGGCTTAGGGTTTAGGGTTTACGGCTTGTAAGGCTTAGGGCTTAGGGTTTGTTAAGGGGGCTTTGGGGGTTTGATGTTCAGAGGCCTTGGGGTTGAGGGTTGAGGGCTTAGAGGGTTTCTGTCTGAGGTGTTTTTGAGTTCGGGGCTTTACAGGGCTTAGGGTTGAGTTTTGGGTCCTGGGGTTGAGAGTTGCAGCCTTGTTGTAGGGTTCTGGGGGAAAGTCTTGCCATTTGCGGGGGTGGGGCGGACCTCCGCCCATTTGTTAACAACGAAGGCGGAGATAGGAAACAAGACCCGCAGAAGTCTGCAGGACGATCTCTTCGGCGTCGGACAAGTTGGCCCCGCCGCGGAGGACGAAAAGAGGATGCTGATGCAAAACTGTCCGGAGTTGATCGTCCATGGATTTGGTCGGTTCCTTAAGTTGGCGTCCCGAAACCCTAAACCCAAAAACCTTTTGCATTTGAGTCATCTGACCAAGCATTCGATTCATGCCCCACCCACTACCTTGTGGGAAGTACGTTGTCAGCTCTCAAAGTCATGGGGGGTCCGAGGGTCTAGGGATTGGGATACCCGAAAGAGGGATCAGATTTCACCGAACTGCCGGCATGCAGGCTCCATGGCAACTCTTTGCCGAGGGTTGGGAAAAAGCCAACAAAACCCTTTTACACGTGTATAAAGCCCTGCTTGCCGATCTTGAACAGCCTAGCCGATCTCCTTAGAGAAAGCAAACATGGGTGCCTTCCTTGGTAGGTAGATGAGAGACTCAATTTTTGTAGACAGTAAAAGGACTCAACGCCCTAAACTTTCAAGCTCCCCCCATGGTTGCAAACAAAGAGAAAGCAAAAAACCTATATACCCTAACCCCAAACATCCCCAAGATCCTAAACCCTAGAAGCCCTTAGGGTTTAGGGTTTAGGGTTTAGGCATAGGGTTTATGGTTTAGGGTTTAAGGAGCCCTTTAAGATGCTCCTGCTCGCAGGCGGCCCAGAGCTGCCGCAGACGCTTTGGCCGCTGGCAGGCCATTGGCCTTTCCATCCGGGGGAATCGGGTAATACATTGGGTCCCTTCGGGGTTAGGGTTTAGGGTCTAGGGTTTAGGGGACCACGAAAAAAAGACCCCCAAATAGTAGGAGCCCCTTATTAAAAAGGGACCCCAATAAGGTACCCCCAATTTCGGAATCCCCCAAGTGAACCCTAAGGCCCTAAAATTGGGGTCATATACCCCATACTACTATAATTCGCATGAAGGTGTATGAACCATAACATTGGGGTCATATGCCCTATACTACCATAACTCCTATTCAGGTACATGAACCATAAACGCTTATTATGGGGTTCACGTCGTCCCCAGGGTATAGGGGCCATAATATATTAGGATAGGGTTTTGGGGGTTATGAGAGCATAGCTATCAAGGGGTCAGAAGGGAATACTATTAGCAGTTATTCCGACCCCTATAGTATCAGGTTTAAGAGTTTCGTGGCTCTAGGGCGTCGTTAGAACACCGGCTACATGTATATGTGTATCTAGTATGTGTATGTATATACACTTGGCTATAAATCCACATATACACATATTTGTGTATGTATACAAAGGAACACATACCTGTGGCAACACATACGAATGTATGTAAAAAATGAATATATGTTCTTCAGAATAGTAGACTACTTTATGCCGGACGGAGCTTCGGGCTTCCAACGTAGCTGAGAAGAGAGTTTTTGGAGGTTCGCTCTCGCGACCGAAGGGGTTCATTGGCTCATTTGGCTTCAACCGCAGAATGCGGCGGAGAGAAAGTGATTGCTTGAGTGTTGGTTTGGACTGAATCGTCCGACCCTGCATGGGTGTAAGGTGAGAAGGGGTTCATTGAGCTGTAGGATCTGGTATGACCGGACTCCAACACATGCTGCACATGACGGTCTGTGAATGCGCACGACAACAGACGTGAACGTTGCATGTTTTGCAAGGAACAGCCAGTCGCAGAGGCACGCCGGATAGCGTTGCATCACCCATTGCCGCTTCCGCAACTTCTTTCCAGCAAAAGCAGGTTTAACAAAGCGCACGAAAGCAGAGGGGGTTCTGGTGGTACTGGCTTGATAGCTCAACCTCGCAACCTGGTTTTGGGCTAAATCTTGGTAACTCATTCTGGAGGACCTATGGAAGTCAAGAGTCAAGAGGGTGCTAGCTCCTGTCCCCGTCCCACTTGGCCCCTGAGCTCAGAGGTACTGACTTTGGATTCAGATCTCTCGCTGCTCGAGGACTGAGCTTCAAGCGGCTTCTCCTTCTGTCTCTCCCGCACCGTCCTGCTTACTACGTCGATCGACGCGCAGACGGGGATTAGCATGTCTCAGCCCAAATTAACTCGCACTTGCCACTGCATCTCGGTCAACCTGTGCAGCCACGTGGGCCCTCAACGCGACGCTCGTTGACTGACTTCTCAAGCGAGGGTTAGAGAAAGCTGCCCCCCTGACTCCCACCTGCGTTGCTGTCAATCATGATCACAGTGTCATTCCTGTTGTGCCTGAGCTACGCCTTCGGGGTCAGCTGGTTCGAAGTCTCAGACCGGGGCCAGAGTGTGCTTTCCGTGCATGTTGGCGTGTCCGGCGATGGATCCAAAATGATCGCTTGCTATTATATGTGGCCCTTGTTTACCAGCAGCGATGGTGGCGCGAGCTGAACCACACATCGCTGGGCTCCCATAACTGGCAAGCTGTCGGTGTGTCCGATGACGGAAGCAAGATGGTTGCGACCACGTACAGTAAAGCATGTACCAGCAGCGATGGTGGTGCAAGCTGGACTGAAGCCTCAGTTGCGAGCTTTGAAGGCGTTGCCGTGTCCCCTGACAGAAGCAAGATGGCTGGGGTCGTTCATGGTGGTAACATATGGATCAGCAACGATGGTGGCGCAAGCTGGGTTGAAGACACCTCGGTAGGCAGCACCAAGTCCTGGGTCCGCATTGCCATGTCCGGTGACGGAAGCAAGATGGTTGTGGTCGTTCAGTTCGGCAACATTTGGACCAGCAACGATGGTGGCGCGAGCTGGACGGAAGACTCATCCGTTGGCTCCACCCAGCAGTGGCGGGATGTTGCCATGTCCGCTGACGGAAGCAAGGTTGTTGCAGCCGTCAAGATCGAACGGCGACATATGGACGAGCAGCGATGGTGGCGCAAGCTTTGGTCAGTCGACTTGGACATCCAGAGAGTGGCTGGCTGTTGGCATGTCCGGTGGTGGATCCCAGATGGCGGCGGGCACGTGGGACAGGATCTGGACCAGCCAAGATGGTACCTGGGCTGAAGTACATTGGTCGTTGACCAACACCTATGACTGGCAGGATGTTGCCGTGTCCGGCGATGGATCCAAGATGATCGCCGGCTCCGGCGAGAGTGGCGGAATCTGGATGGGTATGGAAACGACCACGTCCACCGCCACCACATCCACAGCCACGACGGCGACGACCACGGTCACCACCGCCACAGCCACAACCTC